TTCTGGGCTGTTCTTCCCTTGCTGTGGCTTCCTGTTTTGTTATGGTCGTTACTGAGTTTGATTTACACGCTGATTGTTGCATGCCTAGCGCAATTTTTGAGGGAAGGTCTTACTGACGGGTATCACGAAGGAAGGTGGTGAGGTCACCGTGCCCTCATCATGAAGGTATGTCTGTGATTTGGTCAAGCCAGCTGGGACAAACCACACCACATAAATTGAAATACTCGCTGGCTACTATGTGCGCGAGGGGAAACAGGCCGCAAGAGGGCCAGGGGTGAATGCTAACCAAAGTTTGCAGCGCACTGCACCTTTCTGCCTTCAAAGAGAGACTGCGCGATATGATTCCGGCTATGTTCCCAGGAGGTGAGAGAACGGACCCCGGATGGCAAGCAAATCCGACAACCGTTTTGATGTCCAGAGTCTTCAAGGCCTTCATTTACTTGAAGCACTGTTGATTTAACCTGCTCTTTGCCGTGCCGCAATCATGCACTGGCATCTCCAAGCAAGATCTACGGGTATAGTGCGGGGTAGCCCTTAGGAATTTAGCAAGTTGGCTTTAACAGTTTCACATGCTTGCAGGCGAGCCTTTTCCGATATCCCTTCAGAAGTTGTCATGGGTTTGAGAATGGCAGCACGCACACCTGCCAGAGTGAGCAGTGCGGCACGTGGAGCCATCTACTGTGCCAGCATGGGAGCACAGTTTCCTGCTGCTTCTCGCCCCCAATGTGTTCTCTACTCCCGACATGCTAGCGATCGGCTATGAGGTTCCCTTTCGTAGCTGAGGCCTCTGGTATTTTACCTTGTGAGGCTCGTAAACCAGCATCTAAAAAAACCGACATTAGTTTGTGGTGTTTGGGGTACCCTGCGGTTGTTTCGCCAAGGTGATGCATAGTAAGCGGCAACCGAAAAGTTCACCAGGCCATCGGACAGCTCCGAGCCCGCCGATCAATTCGCCACGCCGGGAGTCTAAGGTGGCCGGCAGGGGGGGGGGGGGGTTGTGGATGGACAAATTCATGCGGGGGATTTGTCCCATTTGTAGGGTTGCACTGGCGCAGGATTTGGTCCGTCTTCAGTCTGCAGGAGGAATGCACTTTTGAGAGGGTGTCATTAAACTTATGACCATGTCATACAGTCTGAGGGCTGACACGTACCCTTAGCGTACCGTACCCGTTGTATTTGGCCCTTCGCACCAGGACACGTGCATACATGTAATGTAATGTATAGATAAAAGCCCCCAGAAAATACAATCACTTTGCCCCAGGTCTAAAATGCGACACCGGTGGAAGCCCTCCTTCGAAGGCTCCCTTTGCACTCCGAAGAGCAAACTGCTAAAACCGCGGCTCTTGGCTTTGGATCACAGGTTCATCCGTTTGGCGGGTCGCCCACTTGGGCCAGTGGTGAAGAGACTTTGTTCATGGGAGAAAGTGGGCGGGGATGAAAGCAGCATTCCCCAAACATCACCTTGCAGGCAAACAATAAGGGAGCGAGGGACCTTCGTCTACATTGGCAAGCTTGAGTTTGCAGCTCGGCAACGTGTGTTTACCTTGCAGTATTTCACCGGTGCGCCCCCGAATATTTCTATAAACATGTAGACATATCATAGACAACCCGGCAGGTAAAGGACAAGGACATCACCGTCGACTCAAATGTCGCACAATTAACAGTCTTAGGAAGGGATGATAATGCTGTGCGTACATTTGTATGTTACGGCTCCCCGTCCCCTCACCCCGCAGATGTTGAGCGCCCTCATACATAAGCATCAGACACACATCGCACGTTCTCTCACGGCACGTTTAAGCCCTCCACCCCAACCCGACCCAAACCAACCCTCAACCTATCCTGATCCCAAGTTGAACCAAGCTGTTTTGGCACCCACTCAGTTTTGGTGTTTGTCCATGACTGCATGTCTTCGGTCATTTTAACTGGTTTGGACAAGTGCAATGGCATCATGCCTTGCCCATGCTTTGCGTCTTGGAACAAGCGTGTACGTCTTGCTGCATGCGGAGCCATTGGGTCCTCGTCAGTGCCAACCGAGGCCCAGTGGTTTTGTCGCTTCAGCGATTCGGGCGGATAATACCAACCTCGGACCCAAAGCACTGAATTGATTTTGACCTGGTTGCTACTTCGCCATCCACTCAGAGGCTTCCCTTGGTCGAATTACTCTTGTCCGAGGTTGATAGCAGGGTTGGCCCCAAATGGACTGACGACCAGGCAGTCCTTCCACGTGCTTGCACGGACCAACCCTCAGGAGAATGGCATGAATTCGTGATACCTGCGCCTCCGGCTGATGCCAATGCCTCCAGAACTGGGCTAGGGAATTTATTTGGGATGGAGCAAGAAAAAGAGCTTAGATCATTATCAAGCTCAGGAGGGGCTTTCGCCCTGCCAACGTGATTGATTTTATTGCACCTGCCAAGGATGCCATGCATTGGAAGAACGCGGCAACAACAAATGCAGCTGTCCACCGCGCTGTGTTTTACTTCCATGCTTGGGGGCTTCAGACGCGTGTCTCAATAGCTGACCTGGTTTTGCCCAAAGCAACTGGGATGGGGCCGAAAGGCATGGGGCCGAAGACGCACGCTCTGCATGATATTCGACAGCGATTAGCTGCCGGTCCCAAGTCCACTGCGATTAGATCCATGCCATGTGGCGGATTCAACCTTTGTGGACTTGCTTAGGCTGGTCTCCCCATGGTCTCCACCGTTTTATGAGGTTGCACAGGCCCGGGCCTCCAGCCTAGCAAAGTTTGCCTTGAGTTGGAAGGAGGCAATTGGCAGGTGTCTATGGATTGGATTGATGCTTCACGGAGGTCGTGTGTGAACAGAGCTCAAGCGCTGTCGTTCGGAGTATGAAGATTATACATTTAAATGTATGTATGTATGCCTATGTATCTATGTATATATATATATATACACATAGATATAGGTCCATAGTATCTTAGTTTTGCTTGCAGCAAGTCCTTTCGGAGAGAGAGAGTAGGGTATATAGATTACTGCCAACTTCAGGGCAACGCGTGCGGGACAACTTCTGCCAAAGAAACAGAGAGGAGCCAGGTAACGTGCACTAATTACAACGAGCGAACCATCGCATTTTGCAGGGAGCCTCCCCACCCGAGCCTAGCAACCTTGTCCAAGAAGACCTGCGACCCGGCTGAGAGCTTGGACTCGGTCTTTTGGGCGGGAATTTGCTCATTGAAGACCCCCTTCTTCCTCATGACTCGCACAAATGCAAATATGTGGGCTGGATGTTTGCACGGCTGATGGGCACAAGCATCCCGGCCGAGAAATGTAGGCAGATCCAGCCACCCCGCAGCTCCTTGTTCACCCTACCGGCCAAGGCAGGCGAGCGCAAAAATCCCGAGGAGCCTCCTGCCCCTTATAGGATACGAGAATGTCCAGCAGTTTCATCATAAGACAGTTGGATTGCACCTGGGGACCGCGGATTCCTTTTCATGCTGTAGCGTTTCGTTGCCTGATGTGCGGTTTCTGGAAAACCCACATTCGCCGGCAGCATTTCCGTTTGCTGGTCATGTCAGTTGAGTAGCTGTACACTCTGGACCCTTGCAAGTTTGTCAAGCCATGTCTTGTTTTCCATGTTTGGAGACTGTGCTTTCCACTAGTGAATAGCAATCGCCATTCTGTTTGGGACCGAAGGGGTGTGTTTGGTGAATGGATGTGCGGCCATGCTGAGGCATTGTCCAGAAAGTTTCTTTTTCAGATGAAACAACCTCCGTAAAGAACTGACAGTAAGTTTGGAGGCTGTGATTTTGTTGGCGACCGTTTTGGGGACTGGGCAGACTTTGAATATTGTTCATTCGCGACTGGCAAACATATTCTGGGCTTTGGGAGTTTCCTGGACGCTCGCCTATAGGTGGCCGGACTGTTTGGTCCTGACTGGACTGGGCGAGAAGAATCCAGCCTGGCGATGATTATTTCCAAAGCAGAACATGTTTATTATCCCCTATGAAAATTATGCAAGGATCCTTTATCGGGGTTGGTTTGAGGTGGTTTGTTTTGGTGCGCAGTTTGTTTGTTGCCTGCTTTTGAATTCGGCAACATGTTGCAGCGCCCCAGCTGATGGCAGAGAGAGAGAGAGGCGGAAAGGATCCCCTCATTGCAACTCGTACTCAATGGGATCAAATGGGTGTTTCGCCAAATTGAGGGCCCAGGTGGCTGATTTCCACTTGGTTGGTTTCCCGTAAAGCCACTTGAGCTGTCCATTAACACGACCCATTGGGCGGTTTCCCTGGGTGCTTGCGCCGGAAGGCTGAAGTCAGGGCTGTCCGGTCAGTGCAAGTGCGGCCTCGCAGCGAAGGTCCTGTGAGCAGAACCCGAAAGGGCGAGCCGCGAGAGCCGAGTGCGGGCGGCAAAATGCAACGGATTGGGTTGCTCACAATCAATCCTTGATACCCTTGATATTCCGTATGGTCCAATGGTAGTTTCTTTGAGACAGCTAGTTGTGGTTTCCCTCGTTGCACTGGTGCCCCACTGTGGAGTACGGATTCAGCTTTGGCATACCCCCCTTTTCGAACTCAGAAAGAACGGCACTTGTTCAGCATCCGCCTTCCCTTTTGGTTTTGCAAGGATCTCTCAATGTCCTTTTGGTGGTTTCAAACATCACCTTCTGGGCCAATTTGAAATGAGTTGTCTTTTGTGGGTGATGTTGAAAGGGCTCCTCACAACTCTCCACTAAAGTCACTAAAATGGTCAACCCTGAGAAGAGTTCCTTTTCCTATCAGGGTCGCTGGGCACTTGAGTCAATCTGTATGAACCTCTTGACCGGAAGGAAGCCCACGAAAAAATGTTGCAGCTACCTACTACCTAGCCACAAATTTGTGACTCTGCACCGCTGTTTCACATGGGCTGCTGCAAAGCACGTTTGTCGCCAGCTGCTCAGGCGCGCAAGCGTGCGTTGGCGGTGTTTTTTTACAGGCCCTCAACGGCCGAGGTTTTCCACGCCGAAAGAAACCAGCGCGACTGGTCAGTGCCAAGCTTTGAGCCATGGCCTTTTGGTGCTGCCAAGCGAGGGAGGAGGAGCAGGAGTTAGCATCTTGGATCTCTGGACGTCCCCCTGCTGCAAGTTCACGCTTTGTTCCCAGTTTCAGTGAAGCTGGCACTTCCAAAAGCAGTGAGACCGGAAGGAGTGGGACGGCTTTGGGCCCGGAGAACATGGCAAGTTTGGAGTCTCCGACATTTGTGGTACACCCACAAGCGGAAGGATTTGGGCTATGCTCCCCAAATTTCTCAATCGCTTGGGCCTGGTCGGTTTCAGAACATGGGCTCATGACAGAAACCATCAAAAAAGAGATTCCTTCCTGTGCGGCGAACAATCGGATGAGTAATGAGGGCGTCTCAGCGGTCAGGTAACTGCACTTCAGAACCATTCGGCCCCCAGTTTGCAGTCCTGCTGTGCAGCATCAGAAGGAGGGTCATGAGAGTCATGGGTATAGCTTGCCCTTCTTGCATTCATTCTGATTGTTTCCGAGCATCCGTCTATTGAAGACTGGCATTCACTTCTTAAGAGTGACATCCTGTGCAATTGCCTGGCTTTTGCTTTTTGCCCAATCCCTTCCCGGCGTGCAAACGAAATGGCCTTGTAGCTCTGAATTAATGGGACACCCTTGAACTGGCTGGTGGACACAACTCCCGACAGAAATGATGTCCACTAAGTTAATGCGGTGCCGAAAGAAAAGTTTGTCAAATGCCAATCATCCCTATGCGGGTCAAACTCCCAGGTGTGGATGAGTTTAAAGGTAAAATGGAAGGAGTCCTGAAACAGACTTGTCAGACTTGTCAGTTGGGGACACACTGAACATCTCGGCACTAGGTAGTGGATGACTTCCTGTTCAAGGGCAAGCAGCCGGAGGCAACCGGGGCTTCCGTGTGGCTGACTGTTGGTCATATCCAGGGGCACGGGTTTTAGCGCTTGCTTGGCCGCTGCCGTCGTTTTTGATGTCAAATCTATCTTGACCACGACAAAGAGGGCGCACCCTGCCCATGAAAAGCCATTTAACAGCTGAATTGAAAAATCCAACCGGCAGACTCTTGAATTCCCACATTTTTAGGTCCAGGAATGCAACTTGCATGTTTTAGAAGAAAGAAAAGGCCCTCCCCTAAGCAGGAACAACTGCAACCGGCCGGGCCCCACCCTTGTTGACGCCGTCGACCCTCCAAACACAGCAAAGTCCATCCAAACACCCGAAGCATGTAAGCTTACATATTTCGGCTGATTGCAAGATGGCATGTCCCAAGTTCACTCACATACCCTCCTTTGCAACACCCTTTCAACCCTAAAATATATATTTCTACACTTTGCAGGTTCCTGCGACAAAATGAAACTTACATTTTCAGACCCGCCCCCCCCCTACAAGCCGGTGGGGGTGGGGGGGGTGCCTGCTCATTTGCGTTCCTAGCATTTTGCGCGAAGCTGGAGCAAGTGTCATGCTGAGAGCCTCAGAGAGCTATCGGGATTTCAGCCTGGGATTTGGAGGGAAGCACTGCGGGCAGGCAGAGATCAGCCACCTCCGCCAGGCGGTTTCTCCCTATCCACACTTAACTTTGCATAGTCCAATGTTGCCTGTGATTGGTGCATTTGTAGATCAACTTCTTTTTGGAGGACGCGGAAACGTAAATCATTCCGTTGTGAAGCAGGGGGCCCGTTCTAATTGGGTTGCGTTTCCTTTCTTTGCTTAAGGACTGGCAGCTCATTAGCGGGTGTATAGCACTAGTTTGGGGGAGGCGACCAACTTGACCGTGCCAGGCGAAGCTCTACTCTGACGCGCCGAGCCACCAAGAATCTTTTGGCAGCACTGTGGATGCTGACGTCACAGGGGACGCTGATGATTCGACTAGCAGCTCGGCAAGTGGCGCCACACGATTCGTTGAAGGCGTGTCAAAAACTGGCAACTTGGTTGATGAAAGGCGGCCGCAAAGAAGGGAGCCCTAAGTCGCCACAGAATTCCACAACAGGCATGCTCGAAATTACTTGCGGCCGTTTCGCTTCTTAGTTTGAGAGCCCCTTATCGTTTTCAAGTGTTTTGTGTTTTCTGACACTTCTCATTCTACAAGTGCTGCTCGAATAGAAGAAGAGCAGAAACGACAGGCAGGAAGAAAGGGAAGAAGAAACTTTTGTCAGAAAGGCAAAGAAAGGGATGAAAGGAAGACAGGGGCAAAGAACGGAGGAAGGGAGGAAGGGAGGAAGGTAGGAAGGGAGGAAGGGAGGAAGGGAGGAAAGGGTGAGCGGTGGTTTGGCCGTATTTTCATGTTTCCGGGCATCCTTCAGGTATCGTTCGGAGTATCTTTCAGACCGCCTGCCGAAGACTAGAAACATCCGCCCAGATTCCGTAGCCCGAGCAATGCATGCAATGCGCAAGAACTAGCTACGTACGCATTGCACGCGCGCCTCGCGACCTGCGCTGCGGCCCGGCGACTTGGTAGTTGGCTTTGCTGGTCTGACATTTGCACCGGTCGTGCAATTGGTCAGGAAACTAGCAAGAAGGGCAACCGCTGCCATCGGGCATGAACAAGGATTGATTTTGAACAACGTGGGAAAAAGGGAACTAACGCTGGCGGGGCCAAGGGCCAAAGTCCACAGAAAGGCGGGAGTCACACGCAGACGTGCTCCGCCCCGCCTGTGTAAAGCGAGTGCCTTTTTTCAAATGAAGTGTCGGACCCCCCTATCCGATTCCGATGCGCGCGAGCAGTCTTCTAAGGAGATAATTGCAACTCCATACATAAACAAAAAGCACGTGAGTTTCAACATAACTGCTTCCAAGGGTTTCGTCTTTTTGTTTTTTTGAGAGTCCCCTGTCTTTTGCTTCCACCACAACAAGGAAATGCCGAATACTAAACTCAACAGAAAGAATGTGTAGAAAGGTACGGTACCAAGTTTCGCCTTGTTTTTGCCTCACCCAGTCGAAAGCTGCCAGTGTCACTTAGGTTTTGAGGTCTGTTCAGTCATTGCCCAGAAAGATCAACCTGCGATTTTTTCAGGGCGTTGGCACTGAGCTCGGTGTGTTACTCGCTAGGAGGGTCTATGGTCAGATGGGTCAGGTGCTCTCAGCGACCCCTCGGAGCCGCCCGCCTGCCTCCAGCAGGACCCAATCCCCAGTTTGGGATGGGGCGCGGCCGGTGCTGAGGGCTTTGCTTTGAAACCAATCAGCGAAAAAGGTGTTTTTTTGTGCTGGCCCTTTTTGGACTTAAAGGCTTCTTCTTGTTCCCTGTGACCACAGAGCACGTATTTGCTTGCTCTTCCTTGTTTTTTGTTCAACCGAAGATGCGTGAACATTTGGAGTGATTTGGCCCAACTCAGAGGATCGGAACTTTGCCCACTGCGACGTGCTCAAACAATCATAGAGCAATCAAAGTGGTTGCTTCCCTGGGAACAACTATGCCGGGCTGTTTGTTGCCAAGCTGACGATTCGTTGGATGATTGCTCTTTTGAGGTTCGCCATGTTTGGGGTAGATCCGTGCGGCTTATTTCTTCCCGGCGTGGTATAGGAAAGCCATGCTGCACAGCAGGAGCCAATGTGTGTGTGTGTGTTGGGGGGGTGGGGGGTGGTTGTGTTGTTTTGGTGTATCCCTTCCCGCTTGTGGGGTCGTCAAAACGAGGGGGAGTTCGCCCGTGTGAAGGGGGGGAGCTAGGCTCATGCGACTTGCCCCGCAATGAAACATGCTTTGCCGCACTTCTTTCCAGTTGCATGCATGTAGGACATAAAAATCAGTGACCTCTGGGGTAAAGTCAGCTCGCCCGTGATGAAGGATCCTTGCATGCGGATTGCTTGGCTCAGGCGTTTGAATTATCGAGGAAACATATACGGGAAATGGTTGCATGTCAAAGTTAGGGATAGAGAACTTTCAGTTATGTGATAGTTTGTTTCATTCAGCTTCAGTCATGTTCAAGCAGCATGTGTCCCAATTCCGCTCCAGGGCTTTGTTTTGCTCGCTTTGCAGGACATCGCCCGAGCCTTGCAGAGCTGCCGGCTGCTTGAGGTGGGAATCGGAATTCGGCCTACACTGAGTGAACAACTGACCTGTGAGTTCCTTTGAACCTTTGAACTTGGCAAGGTGAAGATGTGGCTTGTTTTTTCATCCCCATTTGGCGCGTTGTCCCCCCTTTTGTTGCAATTGCTTCCTCTCACCGAACGCCGGCAACCACCAAAGGGCTTTTCGTCGCCCCCGTGGTTCTCCAGGGGGTGGTGGAAAATCGTCTTACTTTTTGCATGGAGCTTTTGCTGGAATCCGCAAGTACTCCATGCAAGCAGTTGGGAGGTTCTCCTCCACCCTCTCCCTGCCTGAATTAATCCCTCAGAGGTTCGTGGAATTTGAGCCAAGCCCGCTGTCATTGCCAGTGCTGAGCTCGTGCCCCTTGAGGCCAAAGAGCTCTTGTCGAGGCCGGAGAATGATAAGGACACCAGGGGAGCGCGTGGAGGGCCCCGGAGGTAGCCATCCCTGGCAGGAGTTTATCGAGGGGCGGAAAAACCACAAAGTGAGCAGCACATTGTTTTGTTTCCATGTGTTCTGCCTGTTGGGGCCCCTTTGAAAGGTGGGATGGCGCAAAAGTTAACCCTTGGGATTGGAACTGCCAGAGCAACCAAATTTGCATGTTGCAGTTTTGCCTGAAGTGGTTGCAGTCAGCGATCCTCGGGTGTGCATTGCTTTGAGTCCGGTTCAGACTCGCTTCCTGTTGTTGTTTTCTTCCTCAGTTCATCCCCACTTCAAAACAGGACAGCAAACCTCCCAAAATTAGGGTATGTTCCCCGCGGCCAGTGAGCGCGGCTGGCTGGCCAAGTACAGGAGAGATTTCGGAGCGTCCAAGTTCTTGGCTTCCCGCGGTCGCATCAATCTGCGTACTAGCGAAAGAATTACGCCTTGACACTGAAATGCAACGCTTTCCTTCGCGTTTGACGGCCCCAAAGCTCCAGCTCGGAGTTTGTTCTGAAGACCAATGCCTCTTATATCAGGTTTTGGAGACATTGACTGGCTCACTGAATGTGTCTCGTGTAAGCCTTCCACTTTGACTCCAGGAGATCGCGTTGGCAGCACGACTCGACGTGCTGGCAAGGCAGTACGAGGCAGCGAAGCGCGTCGCATAGACGTGTGTGCTGCGTTGGGAAGTTGCATGTGGCCAGGGACGAGCACTAGCTCCTCAACAAGTGGAACATCATGTTAGTTGCTAATGCCTGCATACAATACATCAGTAGGAGATCACCCAAAACCAACGCTGATCGACCGGCAGAACCAATAGAAACCGCATATACAAAAGCGCGCGCAGCACGTCGTGTGCAGCGCGCCAAGTTTGTCTTTACGTTGACCTTTCCTTCAAGACCTGCATAATTGTGCAGGAGCGGACAAGAACCTCCCTTCCACTTGTTTGGTGCATTCCACAGAGCTTGCCCACCAGCTGCGACACTCACTTTCGGCAGTCAGTTGCGGTCAGGCAAACACCAGTTCTAGGCCAACCATCCCTATATTAACCTACCCTAGACCTAGACCCACCCTAATCCCTAAGCCTACCCCTAGACCAACCCTAAACTCATGTTGAGCCACCCAAAGAACCAGCCCTCAGTCAACGACACCACGAAATGGCCGGTATTTTACGTCCCGCGAGGACTCGCAGCGCATCCTCAACACTCCATCCGAGGAGATGACGGTGAACGACCGGGTCAAAGAACTGAACTTCGAGCCGGCCCCTGAGAATTGCCGGCCGTGCAGAATGTGAAGCGCGGGATGGGCCGATAAAAAACACGCCTGCTCCCTGGAGTCCAAACTTGGAGAAACTGTTGGGAACCATGTCTCAAACAGAACAGGAACTAACAGGGAGTCCGTCATTTGGACTCTGGAAGAACATGTTTGACCTTGGCGGATGCAAGTTTAGATGAGCCACTGCTAAAGCGTTCTTCCAAGAAAAGGTGTTTGTGAGTGGATGCGGTGGTCCCCATATCCCTGGGCCAATCCACGGGATAGGATGAGGCAAAACATATCACAACATGGGATCATTACAGCCAGGTCTTATGCTTTGCCTGGCCTTGAGCCGAGGTATGGGATGAGTTTGGAGACCCATGGCTTTCGGCTCGTGGTGAACGTGGAGTGGCAGCTTGGCAGAAACGGAGATATGAGGGTAACCTCATGCTCGGATAGCTTGGCAAGAGCTGCTGGGGCAAGGCTTTGAACACCGATCAATGGCTGAAAAGTGCATTCAGCCAAGCGCCGCGGCATGCTGAGCTGGGTGCTAAATTGCCCATAATCAGTGTTGGCTTCCCAAAAGGAAGCCAAACAGAGATGCGCACTTGTTGTTTGTCCCGGACCCCGAGTCAGTCCTGCAACCCTGGATCAGTGCGGCCAGGCGCCCTTGCCAGAATCCATCCACTAGCAACCACCCTGTTTGGCCTTCTCGCGGCCCAGTTTGGGTCGGCGTTTGAACGTCCGAGCAGTGGCTTTGGGCGAGAAAGGGCCTCTTTTCTGCAAGGCACCTGGACAGCATGGAGGAGCTGCTTCGCTACGCTGCACTGTACATCAGCAAGGACAGCCTGAACCTGCACAGGGGCTGTAAGGTCCATTTAACCTTGGCAGGTGGCCAGCTTTAGATGAGTATGAGTTTGTCCTTGGTGAGGCGAGCTCGAGATTAATGGCTTATAGGTAATTTGTAGGTGTCCTTTTCGGCTCACCTTGGCTGAAACTTGGATGCCGCTGGCTTAAATTTGCTTCTAACCATTTGCCGGTGCCATCGACTGTCCAAAGGCCCCCTACTGCATATGTCCAACCCCCCACTGTTCTCCCACCGGTTGCTTGCTTTGCCCAAGCGAATCGAGAAGTTCACCTTTTGGGTCTTTCAGTTTTGGTGAGAAAAAATATCAGTCAAGGTTCTTCTACGAGGCTAGCCTATCATTTCCAGATTACCTTTGTGTAATTGAGATTTGGGAGGCAGTTGGCTTGACAACATTTAGGCAATAGACAACACAGTTGTTGTAGCTGGTTCCTGTGCTAAAAGCATCGCATGATGACATGCATTGCATTAGCGCATGTTTCACGGGCAAATGTTGTGTACTGCTGAAGTGCATCCCTGGGCTGTCCTGCAAATTTGCTAGGACACCATACCCCTTGTTGGCCAAAAACGAAATGGATCTGGTTGTGATTTTACAAATTACTTCCCCGCAGGCATCCTAAGTAATTGCCTAACAAGGGTGGGTTGCAGTTTGCCACATTGCAAGAAATCATTTGGATCTTATTGATGGATATTAAAATGAACTCGCGGGCATGTGCACATCAATAGTATATACATGTGTGTATATTTATATACATATATATATATATATACGTACGCCCTGGACTCATGGCTCGCCTTCGGCAAACTTGCATCTCAGCTCCGCCCTTTTGTTCTTTTTCACGGCTCCGGCAAGGCAAGCCTAAGCAAAGACTTTGCCAGCCAGCCGTGAACACAGCCGGAGCGCTTGCATTCTTGTGCATCTGCATATGCCTCGCAAGAAAACAGCCAAAAACAGAACATTGGATCGACCAGTGCCACTTTTAGGTACAGGAAGCAGCTACACGCTTACTGCAGCGCCAGGGCCCCTTTCGTGGCCGACGGCTTGCGGCTTGTGAGCCATTTGGCGAAAAGGGCCGCCTGCTCTCATGTTTGATGCGAGCCGCACTGGACGCCTAATACTATTGTGATGCAAACCCCAGGGCTAGCTGTTCCGAAACTGCAACCCAATACCTCGCCCCCTACTGTACCGCCCTCCCACACAGCTAGTCAGGCCGTGGGCATCGCGCAGGGCTGGCGGCGGTCGCGGTTCCCAAATTCTTCCCATTGGATCGGCCGCGATTTGCACGCTGAACATCTGAACAAGCGCGCGAATCCCACTGACAAAACGCTCTGATGAAGCGACGACGAACCATGAGGCTTGCAGGTCCTCGTAAGTTGCTTTGTAATTATATCTATATATACTTCAGTATATGCACTCACATATGAACACAAATAAATCATAAATATATATATATAGATATATGCGCATGTATAAACTTTCTTGCGTAGCTATGACAGTTTTCGTTGGTTTGATTGCCACAACTGTTGCACCTTCGCAGGACTGTCATCCCGGATGGGACGTGACGGTCCGAGAAACAGAGCTGCTAGGATGCCTTGGCTGCAAGACAGATTTAGAGAGAGAGAGAAACAAAAAGGAAAGAAGCAAGGCTGAAGCGAAGATATCTACTTTCTTTTGTGCCTTCAGGCATTAAAACAACACAGATTTGTTGTTTTCTGGGGCGGGGGCAAAACCAATGGGACTACAGGCATCTTCAGGCAAAAAACAAAAAACAACAAATTCTGGGTGCCTCCACATGAGCCTGATCAAAGGTGAACCACCCCTGTGATGAATTCGGTTCTGAGTTCTGCGTGCTTGGCTGGACGACCAACATGGAATTGTGGGGTGAACACTTTTCGCGGTTACGAGGCCTGTGTGAAGTCTGGAATGTTGAGTTTCCATGGGCTCACCCCCGAGGAGACCACGGAACCACGGAGGCCGGCAGGTGCGTTGTCCAAAGCGAATCAAGTCGATTCTCCACCTCATAGCGCTAGCCTTCCTTTGCACACAAACCAGCTTCGGTCAAGCCTGGCTGTTTGAGGGAAGTCGGGGAACCCTCCCAGTTGCTCCTGGGTTGCTCGTTAGTTTGGCCTGTTTCCCCAGTACCCTTGCAAAAAGTTGGAACTTTGCGCCAAGGGCCAGGGAACAACCCAGTCTCCGCTGGGTGGTTTCCTTGCATGTTGGCTCTTGCCAAGAACACAAAGCGAAGTCCTTCTTCCCCCGACTGAACACGCGCCACATCCAGTCAGTTGTCGGGGGCCAGAGGGTGTTTCCGTAAGACTGGAGTGGTTGGAGCAATGAACGACGCTTGCCAGGCCTTGTGGCGCGTTCGTGGGGTCGCGCCTTGGCAGCCAGCGCCTTTGGGCCATTGGGTTCAGTATCACTCGTGCCACGTATTTGTTCCGGAAGCAACGGGCTTCCGGTGCGTCACTGACAGCATTGGATCGTTAAGCTTGTGTTGTCAATACTACATTACTGCTACTTAACCTTACCCACCCGGCTGGTGCAACGGGGCCGGTGGCCGCCTACGAGAGCTGTGGCCCATTTTGGCCTTGAAAGGTTCAATAGTCACTTTCATCTTGTAGTGTCGGGTCCAATTCTCCGAGGACAGATTGTCATCACGTTCCACATGCTCAAGTGCGAACAGCTTTGACATACTGGGCCACTCTTATCGTCTTGACTCGTCAGGGTCTCCAAGGCCAAAAAAGGCCACTCTCGTAGGCTCTTTCAGGCTAGGCCAACAATGATCTTGAGGGATCCAAAGTGCACGAAAACGCGTAGCTGCCATTTCCAGCCCTTCATTGGCCTTTTCAGAAAGGACGTGACGCAATGTTCAGCCTTCCCTCTTTTGTTTCACTGTGACTTGGACGGGGTGAGCGTGGCTCCCATTTCCAGTGCCATTTGTAGGCCTTGTCAAGAAGGGTTTGACATGTTGTCCTCTTACCCTTGCTTTTACATTCCAGTTGTAGTTTTCCATTCGTGGTTGGTAGTGGGGTTTGGTTGCTGGTTGGCTTGTAGAGCGTGGGGGACTGTTTGGCTGTCGGTGACGAAGAAACTCGCAACAAGTACCCGTGTGCTGCGTGTGTGTGTGTGTGTGTGTCTCTTGGGCGGCGTGTAAATGCATTTGTGGATGCCTGGCGCGTGAGAGAGCTGCGGCTATACCTTGTTTGTGGGACCCTGAGCAAATCAAAGAAAAGCAGGTTTGTTTGCGACCAACTTTCCATAGTAGTTGGCTTTTGGAGCGATAGCGCTGAGTACAGCCTGCGGTCATAGAAATGCATGCGGAAGGCGCCGGCACAATCTCCAGAGAGTATGTCCTCGATGTGTCGTGTGGCTCTGCAAATCCCAGGGGGTAGACCTTTCTAAGACTAAGTCGGAGCAAAGAGGGAGGCAGAGAGACAGAGTCAGACAGACAGAGCGAGAGGGAGAGAGAGAGAGAGAGAAAGAGAGACAGAGACAGCGAGAGCTCACGCGCGGTCCCGGCAAGAGTGTGCCTGATCAGCACAGAATGGGTGTGTTGATTCTCCGTTGGAGTCACGCCACCGTCGCACCACCGATGGCATGCTGATTGGTGGGCCCGGGCTCAAGCTAGGGCAAGCCTCAGAGCGAGGGCAACAACAAGTGTCGCAATGGCCTCAAGCACAGATATAACTATAACTGGCCCCTCCGGGAACGCTTACAGGCAGGGAGCTGAAACTTGCACTTCGAGTATGTTGGCATTTTTTGCCAGGTGGCTTGAGAGAAAATATTGTACGCTTTCGGCACATATTATTTATACTTAGTTTGCATTTCAGCACAATTTTGGAGCTATAGCCAAACCTATTACCACTTTAACTCGTGTTTCGGCACCATACAGTGCTAGTGTTGAAACAATGAGGATGCAAGTTCTCGCACCCATCTACTTATACGTTCTACTAGTGCACTAGTGTATATCAGTTCAGTTGGTTATTGCGTTCATGTTTTGTTGACAGCGTGCAGCGAGCAACGCCCCAAGCATGTTGGCTTTGAAGTTAGTCCTGGAACTCTAAGTTTGCTTTGGTGCTTGTGCTTTTGCTTGTGCTTCTGCTTGTGCTTGTGCTTCTGCTTGTGCTTGTGCTTTGCTTGTGCTTGTGCTTGTGCTTGTGCTTGTGCTTGTGCTTGTGCTTGTGCTTGTGCTTGTGCTTGTGCTTGTGTGGGTGCGTGGGTGTGTGGGTGTGTGGGTGCGTGTGTGCGTGTGTGCGTGTGTGCGTGTGTGCGTGTGCGTGGGTGGGTGGGTGGGTGGGTGGGTGGGTGGGTGGGGTGGTGGTGGGGGTGGGTGGGTGGGTGGTGGGTGGGTGGGGGTGGGTGGGTGGGTGGGTGGGTGGGTGGTGGTGGGTGGGTGGGGCGTGCGTGCGGGCGGGCGGGCGGGCGGGCGGGCGGGCGTGCGGGCGTCGTGCGTGCGTGCGTGCGTCCGTGCGTGCGCGGGCGGGCGGGCGGGCGGGTGGGTGGGTGGGTGGGTTGGTGGGTAGGTGTGTGTCTTTGTCCGTGTGTATGTGTGTGTGTGTCTCTCTGTGTGTGTGTGTTTGTGTGTGTGTGCCTGTCCGTGTGCCTGTGTGCCTGTGTGTGTGTGTGTCCTGTGTGTGTGTGTGCGTGTTTGCGTGTGCGTGTTTGTGTGTGTGTGTGTTATTGTGTGTGTGTGTGTGTCTCTGTGTGTGTGTGTGTGTTTGTTTGTGCGTGTTGGTCTGTCTCTGTGTGTGTGTGTTGGTCAGGTTGTCTGTGTGGGTGCGGTGGTCTGTCTGCCTGTGTTTGTGTCTCTGTGTTTCTGTGTCTCTGTGTCTCTGTGTCTGTGTGTCTCTGTGTCTGAATGTCTCTGTGTGTTTGTGTGTGCGTGTCTCTGCGTGTGTGTCTTGAAGCGCCAAACAAAAGATTTGCTCGCAGATTTGGGGACTTGCCAAGCGAAGAATTGCCTGCGTTAGTTCACCGTTGCTAAAATCCCGAGCGGCCCTTTGCAGGTTTGCTGGCGACTACCTGCATGATGCTGCCCTGACTTTGCTGGTTTGCCGCTGGTTCTTAACGTTAGCAGGTAACGTTTGTGCTGTCCTTTGAAGTTCTGCCAGCGTTCCTAAACTGGCTCGGGATTTGCGACGCTTGCTGGACTGGGACGGTCGGACAGTCTAAATCGGGAGTTTGGGTTTGTGTCATTCGGAGGGAAGCCACAAGCGATTGGAGAGGCGGTGTTGAGAGATGCCAATAGACCACGAAGAGCCGTTTGACACCAATGGGCCAGCAGGGTCACTTTGGAGACAGTGTTCCGGCTTTGCGAGATGACTCACTTGGGTGCTTGTTGTTTAAGGTGCCCGTGAGTTGTTTGAAGGGAAAAGCAAGTGTTGAATGCTTCCCCTATTTATGTTGGAGACAAACCGGTGTACTTCAAGCAGGCTGGCACCCTAAATCGCAGTATGAGCCGAGCAGCTGGTCCAGGTCACGCATGCTGCTGCGGGCAGTCTGTGGCAGGCCTTTCCGCCCGCACCCAGTGGATGTACCTAACGCTCTACGTGTCCCGTTACTTGGACCTCCTGGATCACCAGCAAGCACCGTATTTGGTGGTCCACAAGCTGCCCAGACAAACAGTACATTCTATCCACACTGATTCTGTTCTTGTTGTGGTCCTGATCTTCTACATCCAAGCTGAAAACCTCCAGGTGACTGGAAGCGGTTGCCTTCTACAACGGAATTTGGGCCCCGAGTCTATGAGGTCCTTCGAGTCCTCTTTCCCATGGAAAGCATGTAGTTGCAACTGAGGCTTGGATATATTGGGGCCACGGTCATGGCGCTGCTGTGTTTCCACTTCTTCAGCAAGACGTATCAGAACCTTGGCCTGCGTTTTTGACAGCCTTGCCAGTCGGTTGGCCGGCTGGCTGCTAACTGGCGATTTGCCGCTTGTGGTTCATTATGGTTGCTTCTTAGCGTGTTTGCTGGATATGGCCGGATGCACTTGCCATTCATTGCCGGCCTGCAATGTTCTCCCAACCTTGGCGTCAACAACAACTGAAAGCAGTGGTTGGACTCCTAGCAGTGGTTGGAAGAGCAGCAGTGGCCAATTGCACAGAACATGCTAAGTGACAGGATTTGGAGAGGCGGGACCCAGTTGCTATTTTGCAAGGCACTTCGAATAGGGCTGGCCCAATGAGGCCAATGTGCTGCTTATTGCGAGTTTACTGGATATGTGTTTGCATGTGTTGTAGCATTGCTTAATTTTAACTGCAGCTAATCCTGAGTTGCACTGGGGTTGTGTTTCTGTTTGTCTCCTGGGAGCCAGCAGGGACCATGCTTTCTCCAGCCCCAAATCTGTTTCTAGGTTGGGCCCAAGAAACGGTTTTTCAAAAGCGCACGAAAAACGGCCCCCCATCTACAGGAAGGATGCAGA